ATAGGTCTTTTTCCTGTTTACAAAATGGATCTATCTTTCGTCTAGAAAATTGATAGGGCTATTTCCTGAAGAAAAAATATTCAAAAACCTGATGAAAAATAGAGAAAAATTAGATATTTTCTTTATCTATTTCTTAGAAATTTAAAATTCAAAAAACAGATAGAAAAAACACAGAACGGAGACAACAAAATTGTCTGTTTTCCTTGTAATTAGTGTCCGTAACATAGAAAGAAAATATAAGTTATTTAATAATTTTCTTACTTTTATTTTATGCATCTATTTTCTTTCCATTTTCTTTCTATTTTATTTTTTGTCTGGGAAATAGACAATTTCTAAATCAGTGCTAGACAGAAAAGAGAACCCCCTGCTACTTGGGAGATATTTTTAACGAAACGTCTAGATTTTATTTTTTATGAAATTTTGCCACCCTGTTGCGAAATGAGCTCCTGGATATTGAACAGCGCAAGCTAGAATCACCCTGTAGAATGATATCGTGTAATAGGTATCGCGTATACGCCCTTCTCCGACTGTAACGAGACCCGAGGCTTCTTATTGATTACTTTTCATCATTTAGCCGTTATTCGATCCTTCCCATTCTTTCGCTTAGTCTTTCGCTATTTTTTTCCATCCTCCCGTCCCTGCGCCTTTGTCCCGGCGTCTTGCGGGTCCCTTCATCAGTCCCTGGCCGAGGAAAAGTCCCTGTTCGACGGAATCCGAGTATCACCGCATCCCCGGCTCTATAATTAAAAATTCGAGCTCCTTTTTTTAATTACACGTGCAGCGTTTTTAATCACAAACCGCTCATTAAATCCCTTGCGAGGGTCGGGTTCGGGAGGGATCGCCTTCGACGGGTGACGAGTCCCCGTCCCCGGATCCCTGTCGGGAATCGGCGGGTGCCGCGTTACAGGGATGGTATCCCTTTGAGTATGCTTATGTGGATCGTGTATCGGGCGGTCTAGGTTTGCACCAAGGAAAAAGGGAAATGAAGGGATAAAGAACGAGTAAAATTACTGATTTTCCGTACGGTTACGGATCACCAGAAATTCCGTGTGATTTAATCCGATTTTTCAATGGATACGATAGAATTTGGCGTTTCCCAACGATGGAATGTAACTCTATTCGAAGGTTGCAAAAGTTACCCCTATAATTCAATTTTTAACAAAAATGTACTTACGGAATTACTTACGGAAAAACTTACCACGTATGGGGGACTGTTGTCACAGGTTTAGCAATCCTGCGGACCCCAGCTGGTAGCCCCTGCCTCAAAGGGGGCAGTGGAGATGGTCACCGGCCTCTGGGCGTATGAACCACCTGCTAGAAGGGCAGACAGGGCTCTGAGCTGAAGTGAAAGCAACCTGTCTAGGAGAGGCAACTCCGAAATCAAACCCTGGTCCTCCAGGTTGGGGGTTGAGTCATCGGGCTAACTCCCCGGTACTTGTAAAAAGTTTTACTGTTAAACGATCTAACAATACAAGCCTCGGTACCACTAGAACTAAACGGACACGTCGACAAAAATTGAGAAAACGGACAATGGTATTTGGGACGTGGAATGTCCAAGGCATTTCAAATAAGTTACCGGAAGTGATATCGGAGATTCAGAAACTTGGAGTGGATGTCGCTGTTCTTACTGAGACCAAGAAAAAAGGGCACGGGTCAGAGAATTACGGTGACTATGATCTATTCTACAGCGGCGTAGCCAAAGATCAGCGTGCTCAGCAAGGAGTAGCAATACTTTTGCGGAGAAGCCTACGTAAGTTCGTGGGCACTTGGGAGGCCGTCAACCAGCGCATTATCAAAATGAACCTTAACCTGTACGGACATAAGATCACGCTGCTCGGAGTATACGGTGTAAATGATGATGCCACTGTCGCATGTAAGGACCAATTCTTCGAAGATCTGAATGATGAAATACTGAACGTTGGTGCTGGCAGGGAAGCCATTCTTATGGGTGATTTGAACAGCAGAACGGGACGACGAGTAAACTGTAAAGTTGTTGGACCGTTTGGGGAGGATGCTGTTAATGATAACGGTGATCGGCTCATCTCAATTTGTTCTCAAACTGAGATGAAAATTTTGAATGGCTTTTTTCAACACAAAGACATCCATAAGTATACCTGGGTCCAGCCAACGCGAGGATTGAAATCCATCATCGATTATGTAATTGTAAAGCACACTACTAAGTTGAAATTGCAGCAAGTTAGAGTGTGCAGGGGACTCTCTTGCGGCAGTGATCATCATTTCCTCCGAGCAGATATAGCGTTTCCCGTTAAAGGGATTAAAGATAAAGAGCCAATGCCTGAGCAACAGCAGAGTCAGGGAACGCAAAATCATGAAGTATGGTATAACATCGAAAGTTTGGAGCACCCTAGTGTCAAGGCTCTGTATCGGAAACGCTTAGATGAGAAGCTGGGGGATGGACTCTCGGGTACCACGGAAGAGCAATATCAGTTCATCAAAGATTGTATCCACTCTGCAGCGAAAGAAGCCCTAGGTGTTCACAAAACCAGTAATAAATACCAGCATCCTTACTGGTGGGATGAAGAAATTGAAGACGAGATAAATCTTAAGAGGCAAAAACACCTTATATTTCTGTCGTCTAAAAAGACTGAAGATAAAGTTGCTTACAGGAAAGCTCAGTCTAAAGTTAGGAGCCTCATAACACGGAAGAAGAATGAAGCTTGGGAAAGCAACTGTTCTAGAATTAACACCTACCTAGGGGGGAGAAAAAGTGCTGAGAGCTGGAAGTTAATTAAAGGTTTACGTAGAGACATGAAGCGCGACATCGTTTCTCCGATATCACTTAAAAAACTGGAGGATCATTTTAAAGATCTTTTGACGGAAAGGCGCCCAGAGTTTCGAGACAACAGCACGGACAACGGAAGAATGAACAACTTGGAGATCCACACTTGTGACATAATTAAAGCGGTTAAAGAGCTAATTAATGACAAAGCACCGGGTCCTGGTGGGATTCCTGTCGAGTTGGTCAAGTACGGGACTGCCAAGCTCTTTGAGTGCCTCAGAAAACTGATGCAACAATGCATCAGGGGTGACGAGGTACCAAGGGAGTGGAAGGAGTCTTGGATCAAGGCCATCTACAAAAAGAAGGGAAGGAAGGACGACTGTAACAACTACCGGGGGCTCTCAGTGACCGGGACAATAAGCAAAGTGTACGGGAAGATACTGAAAGCGAAGATCGAGGACGAATGGCAGGATCACGAAGCAGAGGAGCAGGCTGGTTTTAGAGCTGGCAGGTCTACGATAGATCACCTCTTTGTTATTGTCCAGGTCATTGAGAAGAAAATGGCCGTAGCTCAGGAACTGCATTTAATTTTTGTGGATCTCCAGAAGGCGTATGACAGCGTGCCGTTGGTGAAACTTTGGGAGGCCTTGGAAAAATCGAATTTTAACGGGGGGTTGATTGACGCTGTTAAGCGATTTTATAAAGGGAGTTTTACCAAAGTTAAGTGCCATGGGGGGTTGTCAGCGGGATTTTATGTGACTAAGGGTTTAAAACAGGGATGTTGTTTGTCGCCAACATTATTTAAAATTTATCTCGAGTGCGTGCTAAAAGAATGGAAAAAGAAATGCTCTGGTATGGGTGTCCCCTTGGGTGATCTCGAAACTCTGTTTACTCTGTGCTTTGCTGATGACCAGGTGGTGGTTGCTCAAGATCAAGATGACGCGGAATACATGATGCGCAAGCTAGTAGAAGAGTATCGGAAGTGGGGTCTGGAAGTCAGCATATCCAAATCTGAGAAGATGACTTTTGGCGGTGATCAGCAAAGCATTGAGTTGGAGGATGGGCAGCAGATCAAAGGCTGCGAGCACTTTAAGTACTTGGGAGTGCGGTTGACCCAGGATGGAAGGACGGATCAAGCTATCAGGGAAAGGAACACCTTAGCAAGGAAGGCTATAGCGATGTTAAATGGAATCCTCTGGGATCAGCGGATTTCCAAAGATAACAAGAGGAGGATATACAACGCTGTAGTCAAAAGTATATTAACATACGGATGTGAAGTTTGGCAGCTGAAGAAACGGACACAGGATATGCTAAGAGCAACGGAGATGGATTTCTGGAGAAGGTCAGCAGGAATTTCTAGGAGAGATCGGGTCCGTAATGATAGAGTGCGTCAGATAATGGAAGTCGAAAATGACATCGTGTTCGACGTCATGACCAAACAACTTGTTTGGTATGGTCATGTCAATAGGATGACGGAAGAGAGGCTGCCAAAAAAGATGCTTGATTGGGTTCCTCCTGGGAGGAGACGTAGGGGACGCCCAGTGAGAGGTTGGCGACAGGGGGTGTTAAATGAGATAAGAGATTGTCAACTCCCTGATGACCTGTGGGAAGACCGAGCTTTGTGGCGATTAGGCGTCGCACAGCGCCAAAGAGCGCTATAAAAGCGACTCATATATATATATATATACTTACGGAATTCCCCCCAATTTTTTTTTCTGATTTTGCATACCTTAGACTGGAAAAATCAGGTAAATTTTCAGCTAGAAAAGCCGCACGTACTGCCCCCTGAAAATCGACTGAAATGATGAACCCGTGCACTTCTCAAAGAAGGAAGTATCTGCTTTTCTTTTTTTCATTCTTCTTTCAACAATTGGGTTATATTCTAGGATAAAATTGGATCAAAATTGATTTAGCTCTGTATTTATCAGCCTCTTAGAACTTCAACGGGATAAATCCCGCATTTTCACCCTCCGAATAAATCCACCCTCTCACTTGCCCTTGACCCAAGTATCCGACATGCCCCCCCCCCCCCCCCCCCNAAAAAAAAACTCGTTTGAATTTACGCATCAGGAATCATTAAATATATCTTCGTAAGGAGTTAATTTCGGCAATTTTGATCGTGCGCATCGTGTTCTACGTGAAATTTTAGAAACGAAACATGTATCAGAATGCTGAAATTCATACCTTACGGTAAGGTATCATTATGGATATGGCAGTATATAATGGCAGTATACTAGTGCTGATAAGTAAGACTACTAACCGGGTGGCAAAGGAGATACTCTAGGAGACGTCGTGTCTATATGGCTGGGCGGACTCCCGATGCTGCACGCCTCTATGTCATCCGAAGCACAGCTGTCCTCGGAAAATGGTGAGCTGGGTTTTCGCCTTTTCCGATCCACGATCATCACTCGCTTTTGCCTCTCGCCCCGGTCCCGTTTTTGAAGATTGCACCAACTCAGCGGTTTCCCGCCATTCTTCACACTTAAATCCTGAAACAAAAATTGTAGTTCGTTGGGTCATCTGTACCAACACAAGGATATTTGGACTGCATTTTGCGATTTGGAACTATAAATTCTGGCGTGGTTTAAAAACAACATATGTACCATTAGTTTCCCTATGCATATAAGTGTTTTTTCAGATGAACCAGAATTTATAGTTCCAAATTGCAAAATGCAGTCCATTTGTCAGTGGCGCGGCGTGCTTTGCGATACCTCGATTGATCTGCTATATAAGCCTATGGAAAATCTCAGCGCAATTTCCGTCCGACAGTTTGCTGACTTGTATTCAAAGTAATTCTGAGACAAATCTGGGATATTTTTTCTTGACAATTTCCGATAATTTCGAAGGCAAAAGAAGAATTGAGAATGGAAATTAATAGCGACTTTGTATTGTAGTTACGTTCAGAAATTGGGAAGGATTTTCTTTTATTGAATTGACAATGCTTTGAATAAAAAAAAAAATGCCAAGTATTGATTTTAAAGTCACTTTTTTTTACGAATAAGTCATTTTTGAAGAAAGCCTATCGAAGTATCGTTCTTCTAGAGGGGTCCAGGAGGAACATACAGGTAAATTCAATGAGAGGCGTAGAGAACGTAGCCTGCGGAGCGATCGTATTGGTTGAAACTGGTGCTTTCTATAGACCTGCCGTTAATTTGTCTATTATTTACCGCCTTTGTCCATCGCAACCACCCGCTTCCATCAATAGGATTGCTTCATTTCCCTTTTGTCTTCCTTGTCTATCACTTTGTCTATCAATTTCAATAATCAGCCTGCAACCTCAAGGTAGATCCTGTAGATCCTCGTTTCCTTCAGATTATTGAAATTGATAGACAAATCTACAGACAAAGAAGACAACAGAGATATGGAGGAATCCTATTAGTGGAAGCGGGTGGTTGCAGTGGACGAATGAGGTAGGTAATAGACTAACTAACGGCAACCTACGAGAGACCCGATAGTTAGTGCATCATTTTCTCCCTTAGTCTATAGGAACCACCCGTTTCAACCAATAGGGTAACTCCATGCTCACTTTGACTTCTTTGTCTATCGCTTTGTCTATCTATTTAAATAATTAGCCCTTAGGCGGACCTCTTTCATGATCGGTGCGTCATCTCTCTCTGGAAGCGGCCATGCACCGGTTGCCGAGAGTGGTATACGGCCAGGCACACTGGCACAAGGTGGCATGAAACGTAAGAGAGAAATGAAAGATTGGAAATTTCAATGAAATATTTCATGAAATTTCACGAGGTTGTAAAATATTTCATATTTTTCAGGGGCTATAGTATGCAACCCGCACTCATACACACAAAATCGGAAAAGAGTCACAATTTTTACATTCTGCAAAACTTGAAAAGGGACCGGTATTTTTCGATATCTTTCATAAATTTCTAAAATTTCATGAAATATTCCACGTGAAATTTCAAGATTTTATTTTTCATGGAATTTTGCCATCCTGGCCAGGCAGCCAGGGGGCCCATCCCTATTTTTAAAGCTAGGATAAAAGGAAAAACACGATATCGAAGAGGCTGCGACGCGACGCGATAAAACAGCGTGTGTCGGGGGCGGAGGGGGCGGAGGGGCGAAATTCGACGCCGAAAAAGGCGTCGTCGGAGTTGGAGCTGTTTGAGTTGGATATTGCGTTACCGGTCAGTCTAATGAGATATCGGATTGAGTTTGTGTCATTCGATAGGCAGCGGCAACAGCAGCCCGGATGTCAGATCCGACTCGAAATTTACGAATTCCGCTCAAAAATCAGACGAAAAGCTCCAGGGGTGGTTTTTAACCGTTGGCGCCGTATCGTTACTCCCCCTCTCCACCCGATCCCCACCCCCCGCCTGGCCCAGCTGCATTCTTGCGACGCCTCCCTCTCGTGGAGGGCGGGGATCGTCCCGATCATCCCCAGGCCCATCCTGCCGTGCTGAGGAAAAACGCCGTATGAACATCCGAGAGTTGCCATATATCTGTACTTAAAGTATTAATTATCGAGGCAAAGAATGAATATTTCCATTTTAAATTATCTGATACATTCGATCACGTTGCGGGGGAAGTTCTTTGGAAAATTGGACGGAACATTTACACAGGTTCCCCTCAAAATTCGTGTTTTTACCGAAAGAAATTTGGCAACGTAAGAGGGTTCATACGACGTTCTTCCTTCCTTAGCTCAGGCAGCATCCTCGTCGCGAGAAGTACAAAATACATGCAATCGTGTGGTGCGCCATTCCAACCGACACCAAATTTATTGCGTTTCTCGTATTTATTTCTTTTTAAGACATTCATTCCTTTGTCTCTTTTTCTTTGCGTTTTGTTCTTCTTCTCCTTCTTCTTCCCCTTCTTCTTCTCCTCCTCCTCCTTCTCCTCCTTCCTCTCCTTCTTCTCCTCCTCTTTCTCCTCCTCCTCCTCCTTCTTCTTCTCCTTCTCCCTCTCCTTCTTCTCCTTCTACTTTTTCTCCTTATTCTTCTCCTTCTCGTCCTTCGCTTCCTTCTCCGCCTTATCCCTGCTCCTCTAGTTCTCCTCCTTCTTCTCATTTTCCTCCATCTCCTCCGGTTCTCTGCCTCTTCTTCTCCTCCCTCTTCTACTCCTTCTTCTTCTTCTTCTTGATCTCCGTCTCCTGCGTCTCTCTCGTCTTCCTCTTCTTCTCCGTCTCCTTTGATTGAGATATCAACGATTTCCTTACATAGTTACTCTACCATTCGGGTGCTGCAACTGCTGCAACTAACAATTAACAGCTGAGCTCCTATGGAGAGATGAGAAAAGCGAAAGTGCCTTCAATTTTTGAGCACGCAACACGGAGATCCTTGGAACACGAAGAGTCGCATCAAGCCGCAACAACCACCTTTTTAGAGCCCGTTTCCGACAACCATGCCTTTGTCGCTGCATGTACGGAGTAGAGAATTCCTCGACCCGCTCATACAGCGAAAAAGGCAAAGTTATCTGAGACGGACTCTAGAGTCAAGAGAAGTATTTGGACCACATTTTGCAATTAGGAACTATAAATTCCAGCTCATCTGTAAAAACACTCATGTGCATAGGGAAACTGATGGTACTTACGTTGTTTTTAAACTGAGCTGGAATTTATAGTTCCTAATTGCAAAATGTGGTCCATTTGTGGGTCGAGGCACTAACCGAATTGTTGGTTAGGTTACCTCTTTCTGTATGTACGAGGGGTATTCGTAAAGTAAGTTAATATTTGTCATATCTTCTAAATTTATAAAGATAATTTAAATCTGTAAAAAGTTTGTGAATTGTCATACTCTCAGCTTTCTAAAAAGCTTCAGTTTTTTAAAGGTCTTCTGAGTGCCGAGTGACATCAGTTTTCTTACACTCGTTTCTCACGACCGCGTGTCCAAAATTGACGCGCGCTGGGGAGGTCACAGGACGGTAGCATGCGGCTTCATCCTGCAAATTGTCAAAATGGAATTTTTGTATAAAATTTAAAAGTTCCATATTTGTGAAGACCTGACTTTACTTTTCCATGTAATCCCCATCTCGTTGGACACATTTTACATATCATGACAAGAGCTTTGTTATTCCATCAGCGTAAAACTGGCGATTCTGTTTTTGCAACCACTTGTGTACAGCTTCTTCACCTCACAGTCGTCCACGGACCTTTTTTCGCCAAAACTCTTCTCTAGCTCAGGTAATAAGTGATAAATCACGTGGGATAAGATCCTGAGAATAAGGAGGATGTGGGAAAGGTCTCATTAAAAGGAAGTCAACAACTGATTGGTCATATGAGCTGTATGGGGCCTAGCATTATCATGAAGCAGAATCACTTGACGAGACAAAAGGCCAAGGTATTTTCTTTTGAATGCCATTGCCGGATTCACCTACTTACCGCCCATGGGCCACCTGTATTTTGCCAATCCCTTCTCATTCGTTTTGAAACTCGATAAAAACCATCAAATGGACGTGTCAGCGGGGAGGGCGGGAGGGGTGCATAAGACGCATTTACTCGTGTTGAACACATTTTTTTGGGGAAGCCCTGTCAACACTACTAACAAAAGTTCACGAAACTTTGAGCGAAAGTTAAGTTCCGTAAACCTATATCTCTGTGTGGACAAGGCCTACCATTCATAAGAAATGAACGAAAAAATTATGAAAGAACAAACATAAATGTGGATCAATGTTTTTAACTTCCGCCGCCGCGCCGCGCAGACCGCACCGTGTTTGGCGCAATGCGTGAAGTATTCCGACAGTCTTGTAGGCGCTATGCGTGTCACGCCGACCGCTGCTGAACGCACTGTGTTGGACGCAACGCGTGAGGTATTCACGCAGTCTTGTAGGCGCTATGCGTTTCACGTTGACCGCACTGTGTTTGGCGCAATGCGTGAAGTATTCATGCATTCTTGTAGGCGCTATCCGTTTCACGCTGACCGCAATGACCGCACTGTGTTTGATGCAATGCGTGAAGTATTCGTGCAGTCTTGCAAGCGCTAATATGTGTTACATGCCAATCGCCGCGCCGAGGGCTTCTCCTTTTCATCTCAAGTCCTCGTTATCATTTCTCTCTAAGTCGCGCCGTTCCAGGCCAAATTGTGTGTTTGGTCTCTCCCTTAACTCGACTTACTGAAGGTGCTGTCTCTTGTATCACTGAAGGACGACAAAATTAGAAATTACTGTACTCTCAGGAAATGAGAGATTTGGTCGTCTTTTCTCTGTTGTAATTTTGTTTTTATAAATCCGACTTTTTTGTACCTTCACTTTAAAAAATTGCAAATTTTTGCCGCCCCTTAGATTTGCCGCCATGGGCCACGGCCCATTTGGCCACCCCCTTATACCAGCCCTGTTGAATGCTGATTTGAGCATTGTTTGAGCCTTTTCATGACATCACAGTTTCTGTTTGCGTCAATATTTGTGTTTCTTTCTAAGAAATAAATGAGTAACACTCATCGAGCACCCCTATAAATATGCGCGTAAATTTTGGACACGCAGTCGTGAGAGACGGGTGTGGGAAAACTGATGTCACTCGGCATTTAGAAGACCAAATTTAAAA